CTGCACGGCCTGAGAAGGCACCAACACTTCATTCCCCGAAATGTCCGGAAAAGGCTAGTTGAAGCCTTGGTGTTCCCGGTCCTCGACTATGGGAACACGGTCTGCTCTAATCGGCTGGTCCAATCAAGAAATAAATTACAAAGACTCCAGAATGCCTGTGCCCGCTTCATCTACAACCTGCGGAGAGACTGTCATATAAGCCCGTACATCAAAGAACTGGGCTGGTTGAATGTTGACCATAGGGCCTCTTACGCAAAGTTATCCCTTCTTAAAAAAGTTATGTTAAGGCGTGCACCGCCGTATATCTTTGAAAAGATTGTTTTTGAGGCCGATATAAGGTCTAGGCCTGTCAGAACTTGTCACTTACACCTTCGGCTACCACCTCATAAATATAATAAGCTTGCTGGAGCATTCTGGGTCCATGTGGTTTCACTCTGGAATAAGTTGCCATGTACTCTTCATACTGTGTCCTATCTACCATCCTTTAAATTTAAGCTGAAGTGCCACCTACTTAATGTACAACATAGCGCATAATTTTCTACCTAACATTGTTAAATCTCTCTTTATACCTGTTATGGTCTGGCATGGCGCCTGTCTGTCTGCTCATTTAACCCTGCAATTATAAATTGGATTTGTATTTCCACTTTTACCACTCTGATGGTACTCCAGTTGGACTCATTAGTCCTTTTGTACCTCTTATGAATAAATTCAATCAATCAATCAAATCTCTCTGGCTGTGCTATTGTTTTTGTTATGTACCTCATAATTGGTACAACCCAATGGGGCTTCTAGCCCTAATGTACCATTCTTTTGCACAATAAATCAAATCAAATCAAATCTCTCTCTCTCTCCCCCTGACGCCTGACGAACCTAAGATAGGCCACCCGCACAAGCAGGTTGGCTGTATGTTGCCTAACCACCAGGCGCCTCGACTGATCAAGCCCAGAGTTAAACAAACTGCACCCTTTTTGACTGTTTTTCAACAACTTTGCTGTTGTTGAACAAATTTTGTTGCTTTCCTACAGCTATGCTGTCAGTCGCCAAACAAGTTGCTCACAAACAATGAAAAATGTGTAACAATTAACTTACAAGTAAATTCTTCTCGGGTACTGACAATATTTGTTGTTTTAAAGCAGCGGTGTACCGGGTGTAACTGAGAATGCGCAACAGTGTTGCGGGTTTGCCTGCCCAGTCAGCCCGTAAGGCGCCATGGCCCCTGCAGCCCTGGCGGGTATGCAATCCCGCAACACTGTTGCGCATTCTCAGTTACACCCGGTATGATTGCTGTCTATTAAGAAGTAATATTTTTTAACAGTGAACGTGATATGGTAGTAGCCTGTGGTGCACCATGTGTTTTTGCGAGGTCAGGAAAAGTACGGTGGCGCGGAGATAATGGTTGAAGAATAACAAAACTTCATAATACTTGGAAGGTTTTTAAATTATTTATTTACAAAATTTCCACAGGATTGGCACATAAATGGTTTTTCAATACTCGACTGTGTCTCCCGCTATGACTGGGCAGTGACTTTTGATGCTGCCACAACGGTAACACATTTCATTCACTCCTTAATTTTACACTGTGACTATACAGCACTTTTTGTAGAAGGCGCTCACAATTACCTTTTTTTTTTCACATAACAACATACCTAGGTACACATTTTATCACTCATCTTGTTATCTTTCTGCGTCCACAACACCATTTTTCAATGGAGACTGTTCAAGAAATATGCAGATTTTCCCACTAAGCGTCAGTCAAAAGTTTGCAGTGCGTGTGCACTGCATTGAGACTCACGGGGAGAGGGTTGCTATAAGTTTTTGTTTTATCAATGAAATCTAGAACTCGAACAGTGAGCAGGGCAGCTTGGCAATTGCAGGCATACTGTTTATATCTTTTACTTTGCATTGGACACACACAATCACAATCGCACATCTTCAGAAAAGGCGCAACCCTCCCCCCATGTATCTCGAAATATGTCTTTCCAGTCAGCTGGACACCACTTTGGTTCTCTCGTCAACCCTGCGTGAGGCTAGGGTTTTGTCCGTGCGCACCATCTCCGAGTGAGACGGTGCTGCCGCTGCCATGCGCTGCCACCTGCCACGTTCTCTGTCTAAGTCCAGCGGCCAGGAGATTGACCGCAACGACTACATGCCTGGCATGGCGACCCTGTATCGGCATTAGCTGCCATAATTTAAATCTGGTACAAATAGGACTGGGGATGGCTGTATCACGCGCCCTCCTCAGCGGGCTGCTGCGGTCCTGGGCGGTACAGTGCGCCGGGCTTCCTGCCTCCGGGCCCAGCAGCACCAGGTCGCCGCCGGCCCAGCAGCGACGACAGCCTGCTCGTGCTGTGCTCCGCCGCAGCCTCCGTGGTAGCCGTGTCAGCAGCAGCTTCCTCCGAGCTCACAGCCTTCTCGGTCTCCTGCACAGCGACCAACATGTTAGAATGCGCCACCTGGGCTGGTCGTCAGCCCTCCGAGGCCCCGTGCCTCACCTCGTGGGGTGTCGAGTCCTCGGCGCTGTGCTCCTCGGCGGGCGCGGGCGGCGCCGCCTCGGCAGCCGTCTTGGAGCCCCGCCTGAGGAGCGGCGAGGGCTGTCTCCTGGGGCCGCCAGGGCTGCCCGGCGTAGCCGGCCTGGGGGTGGCCTGCACGCGGAGGCGCGGCCGCGACCTGAGCCTCGAGAGCGCGTCCGGGGCGGGGGTGGCGGGCTGCTCAGCGGCCTGTCACAGGGCAGGGGGATTAGCAATCGAGAATACAGTTGCACTACTCGGAGGTCACAGCTCAACACTCACCTCCTGTGAGTCGGCGGGGGCGGCAGCCGCCTCTTCGGGTGCACCTGCTGGGCTGGCCGCAGAGTCCTCTGCGGAGGCGGGGGCGGCGGCGGGGGCAGCGGGAGCGGCCGTGGTGTGCTGGCCAGGTCGGGGGCGGGGCTGGATGTTGACCCGCGGGCCTGGCCTCAGGGGCCGAGCGCCGCCGCCGAGGTTCACACGTCCCCTAGCGGGCTTCGATGCGGGGGTGGCAGGCGGGGCTGTGGTCTCCGCCGCGCTGGAGGGCGCGGAGCTCGAGTCGTGGCCGGCGTCGTCCCTGGTCACGCCCTCCTCCTCCTCGGCAGCCGCGGGGCTGGCCTCAGTCGTGGTGGGCTGGCCGTTGCGGGCGCCGCCGCGCCTGCGCAGGCTGAAGCGCTCGGCGATGTTGTTGGGGCGCTGAGCGGACTGGTCGGCGGGGGCGGCGGTGGTGGCGACGGGCACGCGGGGGCCGGTCGCTCGGAAGCGGTTGCGTGCGCCAGCGCCAGGGACACCAGGCTGCGGCAGAGAGTCTCCGTTACGGCCCTGCCCGGCGGTCATCTTTACCTGGGGATGGAGGCTCACTTACCCTCCTCGGCGCGGGAGCTGCGGGTGCCGCATCCTCTCCACTGTTAGGTGCGGCCTCAGCATTGGCGGCCTCCTTCTTCTCGACGGTCTCCTCGACGTGGGCATCTCCCTCCGGCTTGGCCGTGGACGTCCTGAAGGAGCCTCGGCGGCCGCCGTACACGCCTGCGGCCGGCCGAGCGGCGGGAACTCTACTTTGGCCAAAACGGCTGCGCTTGGGCTGCTCCTCTCCCTCGGGCGCGGGGCTGGCTCCGGCCGCGGGAGCCTCGGTGGTCGTGGTGGACTGGCCCTGGCCGCCGCGGTAGCGGCCCCGGAAGCCGCCGGGGGCGCGCTGCTCCGTGGTGGCCTGCTGGGGCTGGGCGGGCGCGGCCGTGCTGGGTGCGCCAGCGGGGCGGCGGGACACTCCGGGCCGAGTGCGGTACCGACCACGGCCAGGAGCCGCAGGTGCCTCTGCAGAGTGAGGAGTTATTATTGGTAAGAGAACTGGGCTACCCCCACTATGATTCATAAAAAGTGCCTTAGCATGGCTATCAGAATCGAAGAAAAGTGAGCAGAGCAAGAGCGCGCCGGTCGGAAGTGAACTTTAATCTATACTTTTCTTCTATCGCCAGGCTGAAACACACTCCATGATCATAGCAGTCAATATTCTGATCTGGTTATTGTTTTAAAAGTATTCTTTTCTCTCGTTGTTGATGTAAACTCGACTTAAACTGTATTAAAGAAAACCATGCTGAAATCATGCTGACAGTTTTATCAATAAAATGAAGTGCTTCATTCCGTCTGACATGATGGTCGCATGCGATTGGAGAGATGCGCAAGTGAACAGCTTGGGTGCAAATATGGCATCAGTAAGAAAAGAGAGAACTGCTAAGCTATGAACTTTTTACACGACGCGCAACAGTAACTTCCAGCCCCGTCAGTTTGTCATTTACAGCGGGGCAGGAAACATTGGAGAACTCTCTTGGTGCGGTCGAGCCGAGCACTGCCAAGGGACTGACCGGTTGTCGTCGTGGTGGTTGTCGTGGTGGTGGTGGTCGTGGGTTGGGTGGTCGTGGGTGCGGGCGTGGTGGTGGTTGTCGTCGCAACCTCCTCCAGGAACTCGGCGGACACGGAGGACACGGCGGCCTCGGGCGTCGCCTCGGCCACCTCGGGGCTGCTGGTCACGACGGACACGGACACAGAGGCCGGCAGGTCAAGGCCGACGCTGGTCGGGAGACTGGGGCTGACTGGCACCGTTGCCTCCAGCTCGTCGTGCGCGTCCACCGTGTTGGCCGCGTCCACGCGTGTCTGCTGCAGGATGGCGTACAGGTCCAGCGCGCCGATGTCGCTCGCTGTGGTGTGCGCTGCAAGACAACAAGCCATGCCTAAGCAAGCCGGGCGGGAGCACCGCGAAAAAGGCAGAGGGTGGAGATGGAGCGTGTGGCGGTCGTCGTTCGGCACAAGCGGCAGCGTTTTAGTCAACCGTTCGACATATTGCTCCCTTCAACATCTAAACCGATTTAACTAAACGAGCTCGAGCTCACCGAAGGAGAGGGGGGGGGGGGATCGTGGGGCCCTAAGTTCGACCTTGGTGCTCGGAGACAAACTAGCCGTGCTGCCATGCTCTGGTTGTGAGTGGCACGCCCGGCATAGGGGCGGCGCGCCTGTCCGTTGCGTAAGGTCGCGGAGCTCGCGGAGCGGAGGGGCCAGGCCACCCAGGCCCACCGGAAGGGAAAGGAGACGAGCAGGCGGCATGCAAAGTCCCGCGGGTCGCGTTTGCAGCATCGATTCGGCTACACTCGGCCGCGCGGCGCTGGGTCGTGATCTCATAATGACGACGCGGGAAAGGCTGCTGGCGAGAGAGGGGAAAAGGGGGGGGGGGAGTTGGGCGGCGGTGCACGCATGATTCAACTGTTGTTGTTTAAGTGGGATATCAACAGAGCTCTATTTTGGGCCAAGCGACTCGCAGAACTATTTACACAGTTTTATCACCGCATTTTTTAACCTTACTGTTTACCTAGTGCCTAGAGGAGTCCAAGCAAAAGCGCAGGTGGGTGGGGCCAGAGGTCGGCAGTACCTGTGGTATCATCGGTGTGGGCAGTGCTGGGTGGCTCCGTAGTTGACGTGGTGGGCGGCTCGGTGCTCGGGGGCGGCGGCGGAGTGGTTGTTGTCGTGGTCGTTGTTGTGGTGGTGGTCGTGGTCGTCGGCCTGCGAAGGGCGGGGCGGGTGGGCCTGGTGGGAGCTTCCTCCTCCTCTTCTTCCTCCACGCGCGCGGTGGTGGTGCGTGGCGTGGTGCTGCGGCTCTGAGGACGGAGTGCACACACACATGAGACGGCGCCGCACGTGACCGACAAAGGGCATCACGTTCCGGGGGACTTACGGATCCACGTCCGCGCGACCTGGTGGGCTGCGCAGCGGGGGTCGGGGCCGCGGTCGTTTCCTGTTCGGCGACCTCGGGCGCGGGTTGGGCGCCGTGGGGTACCTGAGGGCCGCGGAGCCTCGACCGCGGCGGGGCGTGAGTGGTCCTGGGCGCGGGCGGGAGGCTGGAGGCGGGTTCGTCCTCTTCGTCCTGCTCGACGACAGGTGCAGGCTGCAAACAAAAGCGGCACGGTGAGACGCTGAGGAAGGCGAAGCTGGCCGTCCAAGCAAAGAGCCAAAGCACAGAGAGACTGGTCACTCAACCGCCGATGCAACGCCTTACAGTGCGCGCCTGCGTTGTCGCAATTCAAACAAAACGCAAAAGAGGTGCTCGTGCCCCTATGTTTGAACTGTCAACAGCGATGACGGCTACAAGCCGGTTTTGCTACCGGCGGTTGGTGCCCGGCATAGGAAAAGTGGGGTATATTTACAGAGAGGATTATGTACAAAATATACAAGGCGCTGGCCTGGTCGCCCCGCCCAGAGTCGATCCGGCCGCCGCGCAACACCGGGCACGCCCTGAGGGGCGGGGCGGCGGAGGGCACCGGGCGGGGCGAAGCGGCCGCTGCGGTCCTTGGCGCCACCTACCCTGTCCTCATTGGGAGTCACGCCGAGGAACCTGTGGGGGCCGGTGGGGAGGCGGGCCGGGGCGGGGAAGGCTGGGCCGAGGGCCTCCTGGTCGGCGGGGGCCGGGGCCGGGGCCTCCTGCTCGGCGGGGGCCAGGACTGGGGCCGGGGCCTCCTGCTCAGGAGCGGTCACCGGCACGGGGCGGCGTGCGGGGATGGGGCTCGGGGTGTCTTGGACAGGAGGGCGGCGTCCTGGGAGTGGCCGCCTGGCGGGGGCCTCTTGTTCTACATCAGTCTCTTGTTCGGGACGGGCAGCCGGCTGCACTGTGGGGCGTCTGATGGCCGGGTGTGGACGTCGAGCAGGTGCCTCGTCCTGCACGGGAGCCTGCTGTTCTACAGCGGAAGCCTCTTCGACGGCAGCGGTGCGGGGTGGCGATGGCTGTGCTGGGGGTCGTCTTATGGATGGGTGAGGACGTCGGGTGTCATGTTGCTCAGGGGCGTCTTGGTTCGTCGGGCGGCGCGCATTGTGGTGGGCGGGAGCCTCATGATGGACTGGGCGGCGGCCAGGGGCCTCAGGTTGTTCTGGGGTCTCGGGCGCCGGCTGAGCACCAGGGATCTGGGAACGGGCTCTAGGGGGAGTGCCAGTACGCTCGGGGGCCTCGGGCGCAGGGTGCGCACCAGGGATCTGGGGACGGCCTCTGGCAGGAGTGACAGTTTCTTCGTTAGTCTCGGGAGCAGGGTGCGCACCAGGGACCTGGGGCCGGCCTCTAGCGGGAGTTACAGTTTGTTCATGAGCCTCGGGAGCGGGGTGCGCACCAGGGATCTGGGGGCGGCCTCTGGCGGGAGTACCGGTTTGTTCGTGAGCCTCGGGAGCAGGGTGTGCACCAGGTATCTGGGGGCGACCTCTGGCGGGAGTGCCGGTTTGTTCGTGAGCCTCGGGAGCAGGGTGCGCACCAGGGATCTGGGGACGGCCTCTGGCGGGAGTGCCACCTTGTTCCAAGGGCTCGGGAGCGGGTTGTGCTCCGGGGATCTGGGGGCGGTGCCGTGCTGGTGTTTCGTGCTGACCGGGGCGGCGAGGAGGGTGACGCGCAAGGTGGTCCTGCTGTGCTTGTCGGTCAGGGTCCTCGGTGTGTTCTTCAGTCGCGGGTGCAGGCTGAGGTCCGCTGGTCTGAGGGCGGAGCCTGGACCGAGGGGGTGCGTGCGAGAAGCGTGCCGTGCTGGGGGCCACTGTGCTAGGTGGGGAGTCTTCCTGTTGCTGTGGCACCGGGCGGCGGCGCGCGGGTGTCTCGGACGGGGTGTCCTGCTGAACGCGCTGCTCCTCGTAGTTCACAGGGCGGCGAGGGATGTTCTCGTACTGCACAGGAGACTCCTGGTTTATGTCCTGAGCGGGGGCCTGTTGTGGGACCGGGCGCTGGGCAGCATTCTCATGCTGGGCTGGGCGACGGGCGGGGGTCGCGTACTGTACAGGGGCGGGGGTTGGTGCTGGGGCCTCTTCCTGGGCAGGCAAGCGTGCAGGGACAGCGTGGTAGGTAGGGTGGCGTGCAGGGGTAGGAGAGTCAACGGGCTGTCGGAGGGGGGTGTCTGCGTACTGGATAGGATGGGGAGAGGGTTGTGCAGAGGGTTGGTGTGCAGGTAAGCGCTGGGGAGTGCGAATAGGGACCTTCTCCTCTTCCTCCACATCCTCGTCATCCTCAAATTCGATCTCCTCCACCTGCTGGATAGGTTGCTGCACTGGGCGACGACTAACGGGGACTTGGGGAGCCAAAGCAGGTTCGGGAGTAGTGGGTGCGGTAGGCAGTCTCTGTCGGACCGGGGCGTCCTGTTCGGGATCGGACTGAGACTGTACCTCGGGCTGGAAACGGTGGTGGGAGGGGAATTCGGGTCGTTGGTGGTGCAGGTGGGTCTGTGGAGGCTCAGGGGTGTACTCGTCGTCCTGAGTAACCGGCACGGCCGCCGGTGTCCTTGCGGGCGGCTCGCGGTATGTCTGCTGGCGGCCTGGCTGGTGGCTCACCGCCGAGGGGTAGCTGTTCTGCTCCGGGGATGAGTCAGCGCTGTTCGTGCGGAAGGACGAGGAGTCCACGAGGTCCAGGCCGGGGCGGCGGATGGCTCCAGGTGTCTGAGCTGCAAGGCACAGAAAGCAGGGATACATTGGATACATAAATGCATACCACTGCCGAAAGGCACCCGCGATCGAGGTCATTCTGCTCACCTTGCTGGACTCGCACCCTGGTGATGGGCGTGTCCGTGGAGGGCGGCAGGGTGGTCACCGGGCCGGCCCTCGACCTGGGAGGGAAGCGGGTGTTAGCGGGCAGGCGTTCCTCGGGTATGGCGGGCTGGCTGGCGGGCTGGCTGGCCTGCTGTTCGGCGCGGCCCCTGCCACATCACAAACAATTGGATTACGCTTAGCAATTTAAATAATTTCGTACTTTCAGTCCGTGTTTACGATAATGTAACGCCTTTGCCTACCCATACGAGTACCGGGATCGGGCGAGTACCGGCCAAAAACCGGATAGAACTGGATACCATTGACTCCTTCCGAACAGGTTGTTACGCAACACGTGCGACTAAGGTCCGCTTTCTCAGCCCGACCGTTGCCTCGGTCCTCAGGACGTAAGCAGAGCGGCCCAAATGCCTGCCTTTCCTTACCTTGAGCGGACGGCATTCTGTGGGGGCAGCACCTCGTTGACGGCAGCCGCTGGCTCGGGTGTGGTGCGCTCGATGCTGGTGTACCTGTTCCTGGGCGGACTGGCGGGCCTTGTCGGCACCTCCTCATCCTGGTCGATGTCCTCCTCCACCGCCTCGGGCTGCGGGGAGAACGCGGGGGCTTCGGTGGGGCTGAAGTACCTGGGCGGGCTGCTGTAGTTGGGCCTGGCGGGGGCGGCCGGCGCCACCTGGGCGGGGGCCGAGGGGGCGGGCTGCGGTGGAGTCTTGAGTGGAGTCTGAGACACGAGCGGCGGCGTGTACACCGAGTTGCTGCCGGCGTTGGCGTTGGGCGCGTTGGTGGCGTTCTCGTCTTCATCCTCGTCGTAGTAGTAGTACACGTACTCGTACTCGTAATCCTGGCCGTTGGGGCCCTTCTTCACGTTGACGCGGGAGGATTGCGAGGGCGCCGAGCCGGCTGGCACCAGCACCTTGTCGCCCAGCGGAGAGTCAACGAAGTCGAAGTTGCCGTCGTCTTGGTGCAGCCGCTGCTTGCCAGTGATGCCCTCAGCGCCAGCCTTGGGCAGGCTTGAGCTCGGCAGGTTGACGGGCACGTACACAAAGCCACCCTGCTCGCCTTCCGTGGTCGTGGTGCCAGCGGGCGTGGCGGTCGGGGGCTGCTCAGTGGTCACGGCCGTGGTGAGCGGCTCCAGGTCGGCCATGTCGTGGCGGCGCTGCAAGCCCTCGACGGTGTGCGTCGAGTCCTCGCCAGCCAGACGGACCGACACTTCCGTCACAGTGGACGTGCCGAGCAGGACGCCGCGGTTGGACTCGGGGTCAACCTAGAGAACACGACGGGGTTACACCTTTATCTATTCTGCAGCATCCCTGCTGGACAAACAACTTTCTTTTTCGATTGGTGCGATTGATGTTTGTCTCCGCCAAAAAATAATGGAACGGAGAGAAAGACGAGTAAGCTGTCAAACATAATATGATCGGTGTGGCCTTGCCTTGGGTCCCGTGTGCGCCTGGGGGCTGGAGTTGGCTGCGAGGGAAACGACCTTCTTGCGCCCACCCTGGCGGGGCTTGATGGGCTTGGCCGTGCCGGCGGGCTCCACCAGGCCGGCGGCGGTGCTGGTCACGTCCTCGGCGCTGGCCACGGCAGCCTTGCGGGTCTTTAACAAGAACAAATCAGCGTCAACGAGGGGCTACTCTTAGCGCATTCTTTACAATATTTACCCCGTTGCTGGAAGTCAATTTGCGTTTTAAAAACGGTAGAAAACAAAGAGCAAGGGCGCGGTTTTTAATTAGTCCTTTTTAAAAACATAGTGAACCCAAAAATGTCATGCGGAGTGCTCCTCTCATTCCTGTCAGTAACCCGTGCTTTTTGGCATGCAAAAACAGTTCGTCCATGAGTGAGGTCCGTACAGCGTAACAGGGGGAGCGAAACATGCTCTCAGTTAGTCGTTGAGGGTCGTGCATCGTGCCGAGTACTTTTTTTTTTCGTGCAGTCTGTATGCATGCCGTTACCGTAACACAGTGCTGCCAATTTCTTATCACTGTCAGTCTCTCCTACAAAGTCGAATAACGTGACTCCAGAGATTTACTTCCTTTAAAAAAAAACATTATGGGGAAAAAAACGAAGCACAACATCTCGTAAAAATGCACTTTGTGAATAAAAGAAGGGGGACGATTGGTGAGTATGTACCTTGTGCTTAGGCCTCCGCCACCAGATGGACACAATCACTTTCTGAAACACACATACATGTTAGTGAACACACACATGCCGTTTTATGATGTTCCCGGACCAACGATGAAACACGGACCATTGGTTACCGCCCGGTCATGTGAAGCAGGGATGCATGACGAATAGATTCATAAAAATGAAGGAACATCAACCATTCTGAATTTTAACCACACGTCATAATGACCTATTTCTCCGACCACTTCAAAAAAAAAAAACAAGAAACTAAAACCATAATTTATCAATCTGATTTGTTATTCTCGTGTCGGTTGCAAAAATATAATGCATGCCATGCAATGGACAAGTGGATGAAATGCAAAACGTGCAGGGGTCTACGCGGCAGCTAATCCCCGCATTTACCGATACCTCGTGACGCAACGACAACTGGAGGTTGTTGGCTCGAAACTCGTCCACCCGCATAGCTGACTTGTCGGGCTCGGTCGGCGCAAGCCGCCCCGGCTTTGGTGCTCATTTTCTTTATTGTCTCCACGACAGAGTAAGCTTGGTAGTTGGTACGGCATGGCGGGCGAAATGGCCAACGGGTTCTCCAGTCAAGGTCGTCCGTCCATAGCTTGTGGCCGGTGCTGTGACAATACCACACCGGCGCTGCCCGGGCGTGCTTAGCGGAGACACGCAATCATCAATAAGCTGGGCCCGAGTGACGACGGCGTGCCCGGGCGCAGCAGCACGCGCTGTGTTGACAACCGTTTAAGAATCCGAGCAACAAAGTGTCTCTGACCGGTGTATCGGTCACGAGCGTTATTAAGCCCATTATGCGCGGGTGATAAACATACCCTCTGTTGCACTTGCGAATCAATTATGCCCATGTCAAAATAAAAGGGAAAATTCTTACAATGTAAACGCTAAGAGTGTCGCATTTTGCAAACTCGTATACGTGTTGACAACTGTTTGCCGCGCAGCGTTGTGGGCAGCTGTTCCGAGGCGAAGTACTGCCAGAACCACCCCGCCGATGATAACTCTGGTGTGAGTGGAGGGATAAACATAAGACTGGTGGACCGTTCCGCGCATGCCATGCGTGTCGCCATGCCTGTCAGTCATGCTCTGTACTCCTGGGGAAGACCTCACGTAACCAGGGGTCACCACAAGACGTTACCACCTCACGCCGTCACCATCACACACGGGTCACCAAACGCACCATCATCTTCTTTTCGCCATCGTCGGCAGGTAGGGCAACGCCCCGGACACCACTGTGGCCCTCAGGACGGATCTCCACGCCTGCGACACCTGAAATGGCAAGCAATCAATACTATAGTTTCCATCGTTTGTTCTTCTCTGTCTGTACATGAAAATTTTCTCCAATCAGTCGTAAGAATAAAGGAAGCAGGCCAGACCTTTCCACCAAACTGAGTTCCGTCTTCAGCTTAATATGCACTTTTGCACTGAATTCAGTTTTCTGGCGGCCCTACGGCCCACTAAGGAAAAGGGATCGACCAGAAAATACATCTTTTTTTCCCAGACTCCTTGTGCTCCCAGACATTGCGGGAGGTACGCGCCTGCGAGACTCACGGCGGGCCATCCCGCAATACACGCATGCACTGGAGGCAAGATGATGCCTACCTATCAGGCGCTATGAGACCCTACACGCGCTGGACTTTATAGTTTAGTAACGTTGAACACTGAAAGACGGACGTACTTCCTCGATGATTGTTACACCCTGATAACCATATAGTTCATTGAACTAAATAAGGATCGAACAAAACAAAATTAATTCCCTAAAACAAAACAAAAAAAGTGGTAGGGAAGAACTGTTAAATTCCTGCAAAGCATGCTCTGCAGAATTGCGAAGGGTTTACATCCTTTGTAACTACGACGCATTTACTTTGCAAGTACAGAGCGATTCTTTACAATGCCATGCCAGCAATGCTGCAAAGTAAAGAATGGCTTTGCAATCGCAAATCATCGCTTCGTATTGCAAAGTAAATGCGTCGTAGTCACAAAGAATCTAAATCATTTTGAAGTTCTGCAAAGCATTCTGAAAATAATTTAGCACTAACCAGGCCGCGCAAAAACGTATATAGTCCCTGATGTACCAGGAAAATTTTAAGTGTCTATAGCTTGAACCCCTTCTAGTAGAACAGACAAACTGACAAACAATTAGACACCAGGTCGTTCGCACAAGCCAGCTTTATCGCTTTTTCAAAGCAGAAGGGCGGGCTAAAAACTAAAACGGCTATCACGAGCGTGATCTCGTTCGAGTGCTGAGGCAATGCGAGCCAATGCCCTCTTTACGACAACACACGATAGAGTCGGCTGGATCTTTACGACGTAAAGAGCGTCGCGTTGTGCAATTGTTGTTACAACAGTGCTGCGCTAGCGGGCTGTGGGGCGCGGTGCCGCGCGACAGACAAGCTCGTTGCAGTTGTAACGCCTCGAGGAGGGCCGACGGTGACAGTCCCGTACAAGCAAAGATCAAATGCAAACCTCCATCAACTCAAACGTTGCCGCCTCAGTGCACTACGCCCTCAGCATTTTCATTCTTCTGGGCCTAAGTGTTGCGAAGCTGCGGCCCCAGGGGGAAGTGCCATTGCGGAGTCCTGTCGCCCTTGCAAAGGTGAGTCGGCTAACTGGTCTGCTCGATGGTCCGAGGCGTCTAGAACTGGAACGGAACGGACCTTGCTATTGTACTTGCCCCGAAGGTCAAGGTTGGAATACTGAATGCTCAGCTCGCCCCGTCTCTCTCCCGGTCACACGGGCTCGTGTCGGGGTGCGCGCGGCGCGCTCCTCGCAGCACGCGCGCGTTTAAGCCGTTACCCCGGTTGCACTGCTTTTTCCTGCTTCTAATACGCAGAGCTGTCCCTCTATATTCGTCTAGTTACTACTTTCTCTGCCTCTTTTCCATTCGTTAGCACCAACCGGCATGTCCAAGGTTTCACATGACGGTGTCCACCTGAACTATTACACTCGCCCGCCCCGCCCCGCCCCGCCCCGCCTTTACGAGGAGGCCGTGCAGGGAGTCTGGCAGAAGAAGAGGCGTGGCGGGGCGTGGTTCGGCGTGGCGGCGCCACGGCGCAAAGGTGATCGCCGATTGTGTCGCGCGGTGCGAGTCAAGATCCTCTTGAGTGGAATAATGTGACGTTGTATTGTTTCGCTTGTACAATCGGGGATCCGACCTG